CTGGAAATGATAAGGCTGGGGGGATATTGAGGTCTCTGACCTGCTAAAGATAAAAGCAGGAAGTCCTCAAACCTCTCTGGCCGCAGATATTAAAATTAAATCACCTACAGTAAATTAACTGAGTTCACACTGAGCACGGTTAACTGAAATAAGGACGGGCAAGATTTTAGAGATGTGTCGTTGTAGATTCTGTTCGCAGGTCTGGTTCTTTATTAATAACAGAGCAGTGTTTATGAGGAAAGATGGAGGCAGCGAGGGACGTCTCGCCGTGTGTAAAAGCAGGTTTGTTCCGCAGTATCAGAAAGTCATCATTGAGAAAACAGTTCAGTTTTATTTATGTAGCAGCAAATTAGCACAAACCAACGATCAGACCTCTGTGAGCCGCGCTCGGGGAGCAAGAACCCGGCTCGGCCTCTATTGTGCTTTCTGCCCCGAACGTGTCAGAGTGAGAAATGCAGCAGCATCACTGAGGCGTGGCAGAGAATCACCTGATCCAGCTCACCGACCAGCTTCATCGAGAGGGAAACGTCACACGGAGTGTAATTATCTCCTGAATTTAGTCATGTTTTATTAAATAAATCATTTTCATTAAACGTGGAAATATGATTATATTTTTTTCCTGGATATGAAACTGTACGGGCAGCACAGAGGTCCTGGGTCCACTCTGTGTGGAGTTTGCGTGGGTTCTCTCGGGTACTCCGGCTCCCGGAGACATGCAGTTAGTGGCCACAGGAGTGACAGACTGTCCAGGCTGTAGCCTGTTGTGAGATGATCAGGACCCACACAGCGTGCGATTGTTGCTTACAGCACTTTTATTTTGACCCACAGTTTTCCACTGTTTCAGCACTTTGTATCCAACCAGGATGCCAGCTTTCCAGCACCTTCCCACACCACACAAACCACTCCTTCCCGACCCCAGACACTGAAAAAGGGCAGAGTTCATTAGTGGCACCTGTCGCCTCCGACCTCGCGGCACCGCCCCATGTGCTTATTGTACCACCCCTCCATTGCAGCAGAGCCAGAGACCACACCCATCTCATGTCTGGTGGTAGCTGGTTATAGGCCCGCGTGACCCCTGCACAGCTGGGGTTACATGACATTAAATGTTACAGTGACAGCTGTAGACTGATCTGTAGCTGATCGAGCGGACCTGTTCCTGTGTTGGATGATAACATGTCCAACCTTTCTAATAATGAGCTCGCTGTATGTGCAGTAATCTCTGCGAGCCAGAAACTCAGATTAATCTAAATACACTGTTTATCAGTTTTTTCTACCCTTGGATCCAGATGATGGCGCCGAGAGAGGGTAGAAACCCCACCCACCAACTGCTCAAACATGTTTATGAGGGGCAACCAATCAAAAGAAAGTTGTCTTAAAACGGGAGGAGCTAAAACAGCTGGTTTCAGATGGAGGATGAACTGAGGGGCTGCGCAGAGGATCAGGTACAGAAGGATTATTTTGGACTGTGAATCATGCAAAGCTGCTCTGGGAGGGTCAGTTAGCATTGCCGTGGTTCCTGTGGTACAGATCCACTGGGATTATCCCACAGGTGTTTATCACAGAAAAGTTTATGATAATCCATAAACAGGCGCTACTGTTTTTTAGACTAACACATGAAGCATCGTCACGGCTCGAGCGTGGCTGAGCTCCGGTGTTTCCCAGGATGACTGTCCCTGACTGGGACGTGTTCACAGATCTACTGACGTATTTATGTTGGAGGACCAAACAAGCAGATGTGAAGCGTCAAACTCTTTACTCCAGACGTCCAACCTTCTGACTTTGAGAGGATGGAAAAGATCATTTGTGGGTTTAAACACTTCCAGAAATGTTTTTGCTGGTAAAATAATCCAAGAAAATATGCAGTGTGTCATCTAAGCAAGCACTGTGTTGCCCCTTTTTAAAGACGTTACCAGTAAGGAGCTCGCCAAAGCAGAGCAGTCATGTCAGACATGTTTCTGACCTCCTGGACTTCTGCCTCGTCCTACTGTCTCGCAGACAGGCTGCACTGGTCTTTGTTCTAATGCTTCACCTGTGAAACACCACCTCTCCAGTCACCACCCTCCACTCTTCATCTTCCTCATTCCCTCCTCTCCAGACCCCACCCCCTCTTTTAATCATCCGTTCTCTTTGTTTGATCTGGCTCTGAGCTTGCACTTGTATTTGTGCACCATTCATCATTTAAATACTGACTGAGGGGGGAGGGGAGGAGGTGTGTGTGCAGAGTCTGAAGGAATTTGTCGTTATTTGAACAACAGATTGGACCTGAATTCCTCCTCCAATCAAACTGCTGTCCGTGCGCCGTCTCACTGAGGACATAGAGGAGATCGAAGTTAGTAATAAGAGAAAAATGTAATACCTGATAACGCTGAGAGATGGATCAGAAGTACAGATGTAGATAAATAAGGATGTTCCCACTCCCCGGCTTTTATTATCACTGTATGCGTCTCGTTTCTGTCCATCGCAAGTTCAGAAAAGCTTCCTGCTGTCTGGGGAGCCATTAGGCTGCGGGGGGGGGCACACAGTGGTGCATTATTAATCCTGCCATTAGCTCCAAGTGCAAACCAGTCAAATGGAGCTTTTGTTGTGCTAAACCCGACTGTGACCACAACTACCTGTAATTACACCCTCGTGAAGACACGGTTTCACGTTCCGATGCTCCTCAGAGAGGCTGCGGTCGCTTCTGCCTGCAGCTGCTTTAGAAAGCTGAAGTCTGCGGCGTGCAGCACACGATAAGGAAGTGCACGCTTCAAAGTGCTTCATCTGTCAGTTTCATATAATCCTCACGCAAGAGCACAAGGCTCCTGACGTGTTCATGTAAAGGTGCGTCTGTTATTCAAACACTCAGAACTCACAGATTATTTTTAAACGTTGAAGCATTTAACGTTAGCATTTAGCCAGAGGTCATCTGACCGGATGTCATGAAATATGCCAACAACCACAAAACAAGAAAAAAATCCAACCGTTGCTCTAATGTCGCTTTTCCATTAACAAAAACGCATGTCAGCCATTTCCTGGGTGATCAGTGAGTGAAGGCGTTCCTGATCGTGGTTAATCAGCTGTGAGAATCTGAGGTGGAAACGCCAGCGTCTGAACTCTTTCTCTGTCCTCAGGAGCTGGCCGACCTTCGTCACATTCACGCTAAGCTAAAGAAGCAGTTCCAGGAGAAGACGGCAGAGCTCGCCCACGCCAACCGGAGGGTCGAGAGCCACGAGGCCGAAGTCAAAAAGTTACGACTGAGGGTCGAGGAGCTTAAGAAAGAACTGGGACAGGCTGAGGATGAGGTAGGAACACGGCTACGCAGGTATACGGCTGGGTCACAGATTATGGTTGATCTCATCTGCTTGTGACCCCGCCCACATCTCCATGACTCATTCCAAACGACCAACCGACTGACCAGATCAGATCTGAACCAGTCATTCCTGAAAAAACAACCAACACACAAACAAACCAGCCAGTCATGTGACCAACTAACCAAATCATGCAGCCAGTTAAAAACTGGCCCTCCTTCCACCAAACCAACCGACCCGCCAGCAAATGACAAGCAAGCAGCAGACTAACAATACAAACAACCAGACAACTGGCCAAACCAATCAGCTACCATCAGAGCTGACACCTACAAACAGATTTTGTTAGTTATTCCAGGCAGCGTCAGACAAACCAGCAGCCAGTTCAAAACTTTATGAACCTCCGTTCTGACCGATTGAATTAATCGAACAGCTGGCCGATAAATACTTCTGTGACTAGGTGGGGTTTTTTCTCTTAATATTTTCAGGACAATTTGAGGTGATACAAAGTCTGGTGTATTTAAAGTGTTAAATATTCATTTTGAAGCTGTCTGTGTGGAGAATATTCCTTGGCTCTGGATGGAAGCATGCTAGCTGCCACAGCATCGACCGCTGTGTTTCGGCGCCACAGCAGCGTCTCGTGTTTGAGTTGTGCCGTCTGGCTGATATCGTGCAGTCTGAAGCGGGATTTATGCGTCTGCATTTTTTGCGTTTCCAGCTGGATGAGTCTCAAAATCAGACCCGGAAGCTGCAGAGGTCTCTGGATGAGCAGGTGGAGCAGACGGAGAACCTGCAGGTGCAGCTGGAACACTTACAGTCGAGGTAAGACTTTTTGCACCCGGTGTCCTACACCTTTGTCTCATTTCCTGTTGTGATATGAACTCAGTCACTCTTTGCTGAAGCAGACTTGACAAACGTGAAGCCGACGGCGGCGGGACATTTATGACTCATATCGCTAAAATGTTAGAAACATTTCTTAAAACTTTTGATTTACAAGTTTTGATGAAAAACATTGTAGCAAATTTGGTTCTCGTAAACCTGATGCTGGGCTTGTAAACAACTTGTTAACATTGCCCTGTGGCAGTAGGGGAGTTGTAGTTTTTAGGACTTGTAGTTTTATCCAAGCGACAACATCTGGGCCTGAAAAATTAAGCCAGCGCTGAAAGCTGCTAATGTTGGAATGCCAGGATGGAGAAATCAGCAGTTCATGGAAGCATCTCGCTTCTGACAACATGGACAACATCCATCTTTGAGATAGTCTTCTGTTCCTTCCTGCCAGCCCACAGCTCCCACAGCTCAGCTCAGTCTGTCCTGTTTCTGATACAAACACTTACGCTCAGCTAGAGTGTCGGCATGTTTATAACACTTCTCACACTCCTGAAAAGCTCTGCAGGCTCTTACTCAAAACACACCTTCAGGAGCGTGTGTGTGTGTGCGCGTGTGCGCGTGTGTGCGCGTGTGTGTGTGTGTGTGTGTGTGTGTGTGTGTGCGTGTGTGTGTGTGTGTGCGCGTGTGCGCGTGTGTGTGTGTGTGTGTGTGTGTGTGTGCGTGCGTGTGTGTGTGTGTGTGCGTGCGTGTGTGTGTGTGTGCGCGTGCGTGTGTGTGTGTGTGCGCGTGCGTGTGTGTGTGTGTGTGTGTGCGCGTGTGTGTGTGTGTGCGCGTGTGTGTGTGTGTGTGCGCGTGTGTGCGCGTGTGTGTGTGTGTGCGCGTGTGTCACTCAGCTCTATCAGCTTTGCACAGTCCTCCGCTCTCTCTTCCTCTCCTCTATGCTCTCTCTCTCCCATTTTCTCCACGCTGTTGCTCCAGCACCCAGCAGCCAATCACTGAGCTACCGGTCACAGGTTGCCGTAGTAACAGGGATCTCGCTCTCTCTCATGCTTCTGCTGATGTCGCGGAATGACAGGCATGTCGGCATGGCAACAGCTTGAGGAGGCTGACACAATCTTTGTGTTTTGGGTTTTTGTCGAGGGCGCCGCTGCTCTTCGTGCTTTCATTCAGTTTGTCGGCGGCTGCTCGACTGTCTGTGCTGCTCACAGCGTGCCGTGTCGTCGTACACCGGGTCTGCAAAGCATCTGAAGCCTGCGGCCTGTCTGCCGTCCAGCAGGGGGCGGTGCCTCTGAAGTCTGATTGGATAGAAGTCTGTGAGCTCAGGAACTGTGTCGACTTAATACAGCTCAAACATCCTCGTCTCTGCAGGTGTTACGAAGGAGGATATTATCTGTAGAGGCCAATCAGTTTGTGTATCAGGCTGTAAACATGGTTATTTCTGCTGGAAAGCTTTAACATGGGAGTCTATGGGGACTGACTCGCTGCTGCCCCTGCTGGCCTTCAGAGGAACTGCAGGTTTTTAGCACTTTAGCATGTTAAGTCTGTTTTTTTGGTGACTCGCCCGCCGACTGATTTCAGGCAGTGTCTGGAAACACTTTTCCCGAGGTCGCTGAGCCCATTTGACTGAAGTGAGCGGACGTTATTTTAACCCTCTCTCTGTCTTCCTGTCAGACTGCGGCGGCAGCAGCAGAGTCCCGGCCTCTTCGGGAAGATGCGATCGGCTCGCTTTGGTCCTGAGAACCCCGACGGTCCCAGCAGTGATGTGGACGAGGAAGACGAGGAACTGCAGCTCCAGATCCCATGACACACACACACACCTGCACGCACACACACACACACACACACACCAACATCAGCAGTCGCGTGATGATGGTGAAGATTGTCGCTCTCGGCTGAAAGCTGATGTTTGGCAACACAAAGCAAATCAGCCCCCAGCGAGCAACATGAATCAGCTTTACAGCGCACCTGTGCATGCGCCTGCAGCGACAGGTGACGGTGTCTTCAACCAATCATCATTTAGCAGAACAAAGAAGTTTCAACAACAGACGTTCTCCTTGCAAACACACACACGCACACACACACACACACAGCAGGATGAAGCCCAGCCGGAGTGTGACAGGCATGAACAGGAAGTCCGGATCGTCTGATCCTCATTAAAAGAACTTAACTCAGACCGAACTGCAGGACAAGCCGACATGTTTTTATCCTTTCCACGTCCTCGCTCATTCTTACCTCACACCATCGTCACGAGCATCACAGCTGCTCCAGCTGTGATGCTGTATTCACATCTGCAGTATTAGAACTCCGCCCAGAGGGAACAAAGTCTGAGGTTCGAAGAGTTCAAAAAAATTATTTTATGCAGTGTTTCTGAATTTGAGTTTTTCTGCCAAATACCAAAGTGTTTAAAGTTCACGGGCCTCGCTGAGATCACTCGAACGCAGCATTCACACGCAGGAAACAGGTGGCTGAGGAGTGTGACGCTGCTCCACGCGGCGATGTCACGACATGACGCTGTGCACCTGTACACCTGCAGGGATCACAGGCTTACAGGTGTAAGGCGTCCGCTTTCCTCTGCTCCCCTTCTGAGGCCACTCGGAGCGATTTAAGTCTCTGTAAGGGAGTGGGCGGGGCCAGGCTGCAGGAAGAAGTCCCGCCAACAGCAGATATTCAGAACACCCGCTGAGCTGTGTAATGTTTACTATAATGTGTTCTCAGCAGGACTGAAGCTGAGTGGAGCTTAAAGTGTGTGAGGAAAAGAGGGAGGAGTCAGCGAGAGAGGCGTGGCAGGGCGGAGTCAGAGTGTTTGGAGCAGGAGCACCTGTAGCTCCGGCTGTGTGTCTGCTTTTATTTAACCTGAGCTGCTTTCTGCTCGCTTCCAGGGAGATAATCACTAACACTAGCATTAGCCCAGGGTACACCTGGGATCAGCCTCTCACCTGGAGTTCAGGTGTTCCCCAAATCAAATGCACCTGTCTCCTGTTGATCCACCTGTGTAGGCTTCCTGTGAGTTCTCAGTGTCATGCTAGAAAACATCCACAAACCAAATCCTCTGTGAGCGGTTTCGTGGAGGAGGCTCCATCCTAACCCTTCTTTTCCACCAAACTGCCTCCACCAACCATGTCAGTGTGCATCCACCTGAGCCTTCTTACCTCAGAGTGTCACATCCTGCTGCAGCTGCATCGCTGACGGCACAATTTGACGCCCTGGAGTGCGAACAGGTCGGCCGATCTGTGACGTCAGCTCGCTGCGCGCTTCTTTGCTTTAGCGGATGTAGACGGTGGGAAGAAAGTAGTCCCTAAATGAAACTGCAGGGTGTGTGTTTTCTTTGTTTTTAAGTAAGTGGGTGAGATACCTACGGTGGCCCTGAGAGACGCTGCAAAAGCACACAAAACACAACAGAAATAGGAAAAAACACGTTTTCAAAAGCACAAGGGAAGTGTTTCTGGGGAGACAATAACCCGACGGACCAGTTGCAGGAACCAAAATATGCTAAGAATTGTGCTGGGAGACTCTTCAAAGATGTGGAGGATCTATCGGTTTTGTGAGGAAAGAAAACAGGAGAGATAAGTGTGTTAGCCTAAGAATCTGTCATCAGTATCATATGAATCCATCCTTCTGCTTCTCCTTTTCAGGGGCGCTGGAGCCAATCGCAGCTGTCACAGGGCGAGTGGCAAGGTCCACCCTGGACAGGTCGCCATTCTGTCGCAGGGCTCACACACAGGGACAGGCAACCAGTCGCGCTCACATTCACTCCTGCATTCACACCTAGTGGCAATTTTTCAATTAACCTATCCCCACAAGCTGCATGTCTTTGGACGGTGGGAGGAAGCCGGAGTACCCGGAGGGAACCCACGCAAACACGGGGAGAACATGCAAACACAGAAAGACCCCGACCTGATGGTGGAATTGAACTCAGGCAACAGTGCTAACCACCGTGCCATCGTGCGTATGAATCGTGAGATTAAAACACACTTACCGAGCATGTTTTGGTTCCCAAAACTGGTCCATCAGGTTATTGTCTCCCCAGAAACACTTCCCTTGTTTTTTTCCTATTTCCGTTGTGTTTTGTTTGCTTTTGCAGCGTTTTTCTTCTTGCTGGTGTTTTCTTAAGTTGCAGTCCGTTTGGCCTTTCAGGGCCACCGTAGGTAGCTGCAAAAAAAGCATTCCCAATGAGTGTTTCTGACACTGCACTAACAACAGGAGGGGGTGCTCTGGATTTTGAGGTGAAACGTCCCTGAGACGTCACAGTCTGGGAGCTGAAGCTTCCTGTAACGATGCAGTATTTAGCATTTTCATGTCGAGTGTCCAGATGTTGTGAGGGAGGATGGGAAGCTCTGAGGATGCGATCTGAGAACCAAACACTTCAGAAAGATCCACTCATGAAACAGTCACACGATGCCGCTGTGACAGCAATAAACCATTCATCCGTTCATCTTCCACCAGCCTCGCCTTCACTCTGCCTCGACTCTGATGCTGGAAGGGGACCAAGACATTTGTACTGACCAGGATTCTGTATTCCTGCTATTTATGTTGTTCTGGTTTAGTTTTTATAAATGATCTGTACCACCGTGTTTTCTATTAGCTCTATAAATGTCAGCTGTACATACGAACACGAGTCCCGTGTGTTTTTCCTCTGTGTGCGCTGTGATTTATTCATGAGTGGGTCACAGTAATCACCGCCTTTATTGCAGAACTCCGTAAAGCAGCCTCGGCTTTAGCTCCACACGGGCACTAATGTGACAGAAGTTAGCAGGGTCGAGGGCAAGTTCTGCACAGGACACGAACGAGCACCGTGAAAGGTCGTCAGCAGCACACCCGTCTGTGACGGAGCTTTCAGCAGCAGCATTTAGGAGTGATTGGGGGTCTTTTATTTTGAAATGAGCGCACATTTCTGTTCCGTTCCTGTGTCCGACTTCCTGTCCTCCTGGTTCCTCCGTCCGTGGCCTCATACCAAACAAGTCGTCTGTGTTAAAGTTGTCATGGTAACCATGTGTTGACTGCGACCATTGCTAACAACGTTGCAAACTATTGTTCCTTTTGTACAGTTTAGTTTCCGCCTCCATTTTTTTCCATAATAAACTTTTTTCAGTTTCTGTGAATATCATCATAACATCTTCATGAATGATGCATTTTTGACCACGTCTCACTCCAGAAATCCAACATGGCGGCAGCTGAAATGCTGTCATGAGGCCTGTGACATCATGATGTCTGCATCCATGTTTGATGCATGGCGAGTGTTTCTGCATCTAAAGGAGCCCGCTGAGGGTGTTCGGCTGGGCCAGGGGTCGATAACCTGCGGCTCCGCGTGGTTTGGGAAAATAAATTAGTAATAAACAAGTATTTAGCTGAAGTGTATTTTATTTATGTTAGTGCATTTTTAACTTGTAGTTCTACATTGGAAGATTATTGTGATATAAAAATACAATTATATTAATTTTTCATCGCTCAAAATAAGCGTCACGCTCGCGGAAGCCGGTGTACCCGCCAAAACGCCGTGCACTTACCGAGACTTTCAACCCCAGGTAGGCCAGTTATGGATCTTTGGATCCTCATTATGTCAGCAGCTCTACCGTGGACTATGTTACAAACAAACAGCGCTCACGCCTCACAGAGGACAGCTTACAGTCCTGCTGCGCAGAGGTTCAGGAGCAGAAGTCTTATTGTGAACATGTCACAGCAGACCCGACGATGTTTGCATGAACACGCTTTACAGCATCTCTTTGTTGACCACTTTTAAAACACGGTTGCTGTGCGCATACAGCCGGTGTTATAGTTTGTCAGAACACCGGCTGTAGCTTTGCAGCTCACAGCCCGACACACACCAACACAACAGCAGAGAGAGCGCAGACGTTAAGGCGGCGAGGCGTGATTGCGGGTGCCGCTCAGGTGCGTCCGCCTCCCCTGCAGCGGTGCTGCAGACCACGCCCCGCCACACACATTAACCAGGTAAGATATATTTAGGCAGAATTTTGCAAATATCTTTTTTTTTTTTTTTTAGCAGCATAGTGCTTGTTTTTCCAATTCTTTTTTAAAAGTCAGGTCAAGGCTCCAAAAGATATAAGGAGGGTGGCTCACAGCAGTTTTTGTTTGCTGGATCATTTTAGCTCAGCTGGGTGTCTTTGCTTTGGTTATATTTCTTTAAGAGTTCAAAATGTGTTAATTACATAAATATAATGTAATTTTCTCTGTAGCACTTCATGGATTTCATAAGCAACACACCTTAGTTGTTCACACAAAGCATGAAAGTAAAAAACAATATATACAGCGTTATCTTCATTTTAGATGTCAGTAAGTATTTGCGGCTCCCAGTGTTTTCTTTTGCGTGGGAACCGGCTCCAAATGGCTCTTTGGGTCCTGAAGGTTGCAGACCCCTGGGCTAGACTGTCTTCGTGTCGGTGCTTCACTGGGAGACTCCAGGACGCTCTCGAGGGATCTCTGCTGGTTTGGGAACGCCTCAGGCTGTATTCCAATTCAGGGTCTGCAGCCTTAAAGGCCGCATTTTAAGGCCGATTACGTCACAGTGACGCGACGAAGGCTGCCCCAATTCGAAGGCTGCTCGAAATGCGGCCCTCAAATGCGTCCTTCATTTCCCTGAATTTTAAGGACGTGGCGGTGTAGACTTCGTGGCCCAACATATCCCAGAATGCATAGCGCAAAAAATGGTGGATGAGGGTCACCCGAAGAGTAAACTTTTAAAAGTAAGTACTGAATATTATGTCACTTATTTATGTGCAAATGTTTAATAAAGAAGAACATTAAACATTCCTGTTGGTCACATGTCGGCAAAGTCATGTGACATTAGTGACGTTTGTACTAACTTGGTTTTAAAGCCTTTACTTTAAAATATACGCCGTTCAATAGCTGAGCTTAATCTTACAGAGAATGTGATGATTTCATGGATATTTAAAGTCAGCACTGAGACAAATTTAGTAATGCCAACATATTAAAAGAACAATGTTTGTCTCTTATATATAACACAGTTATATATACAGTGAAGATTTAAGGTGACAGGAAATATAAATAATATAAATAAATGCAGCTTGAATCTTTACTGAAGCTCAGTATTTGAAACAGAGTTCATTCACTGCTGTAATAACTAATAATGATTGAAATTATAACTTTAATATTGGCCATATTATATTTACATTACCAAAGTGAGATGACTTTAGTCTCATGAACAACATCAGCTAATTGTTATTTACAAGCTAATCTTAAATGACTGTTCAGCACAGAAGTGAAGCCCAACAATCATGTCTCACAGTCCCGTGGTCTCAGCCTCAGATACTCATCCAATCAAAGCTCATGTAGAAACAAACAAATGAACAAAAGATTTTCTCCTTCATTTCTGTCAAACAAAGCTGTATGAAACGTTTCCAGCTGTTAGTGTCATGGTTGCTAGGCAACCTGGGCAGCGGGACGGAGGCTAGACCGTCCCATTTCACAAGCCTCGCACTTCCGGCCTTAGCGGTCTTTGAGTACGCGGCCCTTGTGGACCGTTAAGGCTGCGTACTTTAAGGCTGCAGACCCTGAATTGGGATACAGCCTTCGGCTTTCTACCCACAGTTGACGGCCACAGGTGAGGAATCGCGGACCTAATCTGCGGGTTCAGGCCAGGTGTGATGTGCTCAGTGAGTGCAGAGTAAGAAGTAAACAGGAAGTAAGTAAAAAGGAAAAGCACTGCAGACAGGTGAGCGGGTCGTTAGAACTTTCTGAACACCAGCAGAAAGCTTCTGCGGTGGAGACGCAGAGGGAGAATCTCGGTGCTGCGCAGTAATGAGACTGAAGCTCATCCCCAAACAGCACGCCGCCGCCGCTCCTCTGACATCACATCCATTACTGAGCGTTTGCGTCTCACAGAGGAGACAGATAATGAGTGTTTTACCCTCCTGCAGGAAAACATGCAAATCTCACTGCACACTGTGCGTGTGTGTGTGTGTGTGTGTGTGTGTGTGTGTGTGTGTGTGTGTGTGTGTGTGTGTGCTCACTTACTGTGCATAAAACACACAGCTGTATATGAACATTATAGACATATAAACTTGTTCACATATTCACTGTGGAGCCCCAGGATGATACCAAACTCACAGAGCGCCCACACAATCAAGCAACGTGTGTGTGAGTCTGTGCGTGTGTGTTTAGCCTGATCCCATAAGTACAGTAGAAAGGCGATAATGCTGAAAACTGTCAGCTAAGCATAACACACACTGCACTGTGTGTGTGTGTGTGTGTGTGTGTGTGTGTGTGTGTGTGTGTGTGTGTGTGTGTGTGTGTGTGTGTGTGTGTGGTTCATTATGTTAATTCTCTCCCTGTCTTTCTCATTAGGGCAGTAATGGCTGACAGCAGGATGGCACAACATTACACTGAGGTCTCTATAATTATTCTACAGCTTGC